CCGGCCCCGCCCCTTAGATCGCCCCTCGCCCAGGCCCGCCCCGCAGGTCCCGCGCTGCGGGCCAGTCCCGGCGCTTCGCGGCCCAGGCGCTATCCCTGCGGCGCAGCGCGACCCCGCCCACAAGGTAAGTTCCCAGCCTCTGCGGCCTTGCTGCGCCCCAGACATTGGCCCAGGAAGAGGCGGTGCCAAAAGGGCTGCCAGTTTCCGCCCATCCAGAGAAGCTAGTTGATTGACAGGCTAACTGGACAATAGTGGCCAAGTACTTGGTCAAAGCTCCCGTGAGTCTCTGTGCCCCTGTACTAAACAACCAATCAAAATGCTCTTCCTCTTGGGCGGGTTCCAGGACCGAATTTGCTGCCAAGAGAAAGCGTTCATTGGACCGCACTGGAGGAGGCATCCCTAAGTGCCACTTCCTGTGGTGCTTTACTGCTCTAGGGTCTTTGTGGGTAGACTTTGGATTTTACTCTAGAGCACTTGGGAGTCTTAGCCAATAGGCTCGCACCCTGTTTGTGGGCTGAAAGGCCCATTGGACCTAAAATCTTGATTGACATGAGTATATGCCAATCAGTGGTCCCAAGAAGGGGTTCTGGCAAGTCTTCCCACAGCGGCTGATTCCTGGAGCAGTATGGCGAGCTTGAGTTTAAGCTAAGGGCTCCTGCGCAGTCACAGCTGGCAGTCGCGTCGTTGTCCCGCGTGTTCCTGGCACTCACTGGGCTTAGCTGGGCGATTCCCACTCAGGGCCTCTTCATAGCGCTGGGGCTAGAGCGGCCTCAAGGGCTTCTGTACCGAGGAATAGAGGAGGAAGGACATGGAGTCGGTATAGTCATTCGGCCAAATTATTAAGTAAATTGATACGAGGACATGATTCTACTCTTGTTTCACCTGCCCTGGGAACTTCAGCTTTTGAACTTGACAGCCCTGCCACCGTGCCCGCATATCCGTCCCCGCCCAGGTGGACGTCTGAGCACCCTGGGGGCATGAGGAGACCGCGTCCGTGTGTCCAGGCCCCGGCGTCCGACGTTCCCCCCGGAGCAGTCCGGAGGCTGAGCGTGCGGGATGGAGCCTTCCCGAGGACATCCCTTCAGCTATGAGAACTCTCAGCGTTTCTTCCTGGCTTCAGAACATTCTGCGTATTGCCTAGTTGTGTGTCTGGTTTGCAAATCCCAAGATTTAAAAATAAACACTTATTTTTGCCGAAGCCTCGGGTTCGTTCACCAGGGGTCAGCGGCACTCGCGTTTATGGCCCGAGGCCGGCTGCTGACCGGGGCCTCCGCTGGGGCTCGCGGGAGGCCCACAACAAGAACCCTGTAAGGCTTTTGCCCAGACCCCCTCCGACTCACTGGATGTTTTCTCTCAGCGATTTTCCACCCACCGACCTCCCACCTGCTCCTTGGCTCACAGTCCCCACTTAACCCACGTGGAGTTGAGCCCAGTCTCATGGAGCCAGAAATCCCATTGCGGTGGCCCCTGTACCTGTGGTGGTGCTCCTGAGGAGAGGCTGCCTAACCATCTTTAACACGTGTCCTAGAATATTTTTTCTTTAATACTTAAGACCTGGGACCAGAAAACGTAACACAATCTTTGTTCTGTACTGTGTTTTATTAGTCAAGGAGCCACATAATCAGATTGATGGGAGTAGAGTGGGATAATTAGGGGGGTCATGTTTTTGTTGGTTTTTAAAATTTTTTTTTTAAAAAATATGCCTTTATTGATTTCAGAGAGAGGAAGAGAGAGAGAGAGAAACATCAATGATGAGAGAGTGATTGATCGGCTGCCTCCTGCACACCCCCGATTGGGGATCGAGCCCGCAAGCCAGGCATGTGCCCCAACCGGAAATCGAACCACAATCTCCTGGGTCCTAGAAAGATGCTCAGCGGCTGAGCCACACCCAGCCGGGCTGGGAGTCAGTCATGTTTTAAAATTTCCAAAATCCACCCTCTGGCCACAAATGCTTTGCATTTGGTCACCTTGACAGTTTTGAGGAATACTGGTCACATATTTTGTACGATGCCCCTGTACTGGAGTTTTTCTTATGTTTTTCTCATGATCAGACTCATGTTATTGGTTGTTTTTTTTTAAAAAAACCTTTATTGATTTCAGAGAGAGGAAAGGAGAGGGAGAGAGAGAGAGAGATAGAAACATCAATGATAAGTCATTGATTGGCTGCCTCCTACACTCCCCCAACTGGGGATGGAGCCCACAACCCGGGCATGTGCCCTGACCAGGAATTGAACCCCGATCGCCTGGATCCCAGGTCAACACTCAACCACTGAGCCACGCCCGGCCAGGCAATGTTACTGGTTTTGAGGAGGAAAACCACAGGGGTAAAGTGCCCCTTTATCACATAGGTCAAGGGCCCACATCAGTGTGACTTACCAATGTTGACATTGACCTTGACCACCTGTCTGAGGTAGTGTTTGTCAGGTTTCGCCACTTTTATTTCTCATATTGCTAATTTTTGTCTTCTCTCTTTTTTTCTTGGTTCACTTGACTGGAAGTTTAACCTTTTCAAAAAGCCAGCTTTTGCTTTTTGTTGATTTTTCTTTATTATTTTCCTATTTTCAATTTCATTGATTTATTTTTTGCTGTACTGTTGTCTTGTTTTCTATATTGTTCTCAAGACGACTAATGCCTTCCTCTTTTTATTTATGTCATCGATCTGTTTGCTTCCAGGCCCAGAGGATTTCCCCCCATTACCGTTAAAGTCTAATACTTTTACTAAGATATGTCTAAGAATTATTTCAGAATAATTTCCCCAGGAACATGGCGTGCCTTTTTATTATGTTGATTCAGTACTTCTTTTCTTTCTGGGAGGTATTTTTGGATTTTAAGTATTTATTCCATTTTGGGGTTTGTTTTGTTTTGTTTTTTTGTTTTTTAGAAACTGTGTGGATGATGGATCACGTTTGCCTATTTTCTACCATTACTTTTTGTGTGATAATTTTTACCTCTGTCCTTATTTCAATTCATTGTCTTGGTTGTTTTCTTTCCTCAATATCTCGTATTTTTCTGTCAAACTTTTAGCTTGGATATTTTAATTTAGTCTTCTTTTCTGAGTACCTCTGAGATTTTCCTTAAATTTTCCTTCTATGTTCTGTCAACTCTATTTCATCCATATATATTTTGAGGTTTTGAATTTTTTATTTAAGGTGTTATTTATACCTGCATATTTGTTTTTATGAACATAGATTCATTTGGGAGTACTGAGTATTGTCTAATAGGAATCTGAAAAAGTCCTAAAAGGATATATAAATTTATAAAGTCACAATAGGATTCCTTTGCCTCAGCCTTTGTAACATACTAAACACAGAAGCGTTTTTTGGGCATGGGCATTGCTCGATGCAACCTAGAGTTCTAGATGGATATGTAATAGTTCTTAAGAAAGAACTGGTGTAGGTCTTCTTCATTTACTCCGGATTACAACATTATACTGGAGGCTCTCAAGCTAGTATGGTGATAACTGATCTTAACGAACATGGTTCTTAAGGAGTTTAAGTCTCCCATTTTGAAGCAGGTTAAGATGGCCTTGAAAAATTACTCATTATACCCCAGGACAACTCAATTCCATTTCTCTCAACTTGGCTATTATTAGTTTCATGAAGTTGGTGTAACAAACTGCCAGAAACTTGGTGGTTTAAAATAACACAAGATGTATTTTCTTAAGTTCTGGGTGCAAGTCTGAAATCAGTGTGACTGGATTAAATTCAGCTGTTTCGGATGGTTTTGTTTTGTTTTTTTAACAGTATTGCTATGAACATTCTTTTTTTTTTTTTTTTTAAACATATCTTTATTGATTTCAGAGAGAGGAAAGGAGGGGGAGAGAGAGAAACATCAATGATGAGAGAGTCATTGATCGGCTCCCTAGCTCGCAACCCGGGCTTATGCCCTGACCGGGAATCGAACCCTGATCTCCTGGATCCTAGGTCGATGCTCAACCACTGAGCCACGCCCGGCTGGGCTCGGATTTTTTTTTTTAATTTTTTAAAAAAGACGTCTTTATTGATTTCAGAGAGAAGAAGGGGGAGGGAGGGAGAGAGAGAAACATCAGTGATGAGAGAATCATTGATCGGCTGCCTCCTGCATGCTCCCGACTGGGGATGAGCCCGCAACCTGGGCACGTGCCCCAACCGGGAATCGAACCACGACCTCCTGGATCCTAGGTCGATGCTCAAGCGCTGAGCCACGCCCGGCTGGGCTCGGATGGTTCTTTATCGGAGCAAGTCAATACAGCCCATTGGTGTATGTGCAGTTACTGACCTGGCAAGTGCTTTTTTTTCTATTTCCCAATAATCAGAATACCAGAAAGTGTTTGCTTTCACTTGTCAGAAACGTGTTCACTTTTCTTAGAAGTACATCAACTCTCTTTAGTCTGCATGGACCCTGACTAGTTCATCATTCAACAGGTCTGTGTTGCTTTATAACTGGGATGAAGTCGTGCAGGTTAAAACTGGATGCCATTTATTTATTTTTTAATCTTCACCCGAGGATATTTTTTTCCCCATTGCTTTTCAGAGAGTGGAAGGGAGAGAGAGAGAGACAATGATGTGAGAGACACACATCGGTTGGTTGCCTCTCACACGCACCCCAACTGGAGCTGGGGATGGAGCCTGAAAGCAAGGTACGTGTCCTTGGCTGGAATCAAACCTGGGACCCTTCAGTCCGCAGTCCAATGCTCTCACCACTGAGCCAGACCGGCCAGGGCAAGTAGATGCCATTTAGACAAATGATTGGCAGAACGTGGTTGATAAATATTGATAAGCAACAGGTTAAATTTGCAGTATTAGATTAAGTAGTGCTCAACTATTTTCTTGGTAAACTTCATTTAAAAAATGGGTCTTCAGCCCTGGCCGATGTAGCTCCATGGTTAGAGCGACCACCCACACACAGAAGGGTTTGGGGTTCGATTCCCAGTCAAGGGCACGTACCCGGGTTGCAGTTTTGATCTCTGCCTGATCTGGGAGTGTGCGGGAGGCAACCCGTCGATGTGTCCCTGCCACATCGATGGAAACTCTTTCTCTCTCCCTCCTCCCTTGCTCCCTTCCTCTCCCTAAAATTCAATGGGAAAAACAATAAATTAAAAATGGGTCTACAAGAGAGACTGATTCTGGAAGGCAGCATGTAAACTGCAGCTTCTCAGGTAACCCATGGGAGACTCAGCACATGAACAATTAGATCTTCAAACAAGGATAGGGTTATATTCAACTCAGGGTTCACGAGTCACACTGTGGGGGTGTTTTTCCACACATCTCATTGAACTGGGAGTACACTTTGGGAGACTTAATTAGGATTGCAAAACAGAATCTCAGTACTTAAGTGTCCCAGACTGTGCGACTGGGCACTGGTATGAAACATTTCAGACAAGTTAGGTTATGAGCACTTGTCAAAATCTTACCTCATACTTGATAGCAAGGGAATCAGAAAAAAAAACCCCTGGCTCCTCAAACATTCCTGAAGGGGGATCTCCTTGAATAAAGACTTTTAGACAAGGTTGGCAAGCTATTGCACTATTTTTAGTCACACTGTAGCCTTTTAATAACTTGGCCATTTAAACCTGGGTCATAATGTCCTAGGGCCATTTCTGTGAAATGAGTATGGGCGATGTCCCAGAAATAATAAGTAATGTAGTGTTGCCTGTCTTGAATGTGGGGTATTTTTCCTTCTCAGTTCTTCCTTTTGGCAAAGATACTCAGTGGGACTACTTTGGCTACATTAAGAATTTCCTTTTTTTTTTTTTATTTACGCTAGGATAATTGAGATTGTTGGTCAATTTTGTTTTTCTTTTGGTCTTGTTACATTTTTGTAGGCTGTGGATATCACAGTTTTATTATTAACACAACTATTAATAAGATGTATACACATTGATACCATTTCCTGAAACGTATTTCCAACATCAAGAAATGTCAGATAAATTCCAAAGGAAATTAGTTTTGTGGTAGCTATTTCATGTTGTCTAATTTTCTTTTTTTCCTCTGCTGGCCTGTTTTCAAACCTGGATGGTGAACAGAGGTCTCGGGAAGCCACCATACAACAGTCCAAGGGAGCGGTAGCCAGCCCAGACAGCTCTAGGACGACGTCTCCAAGGAGAGGAGGGGAAGGAAGGGCAAGAGGATTCATTTGATGAGTGACTGTATTGAGAGGGAATTTTCTGTTTTGTGGAGTGAATGAATGTAGGTAACTTGACAAGCAGTATATATCATAATAGGCTATGTCCTCATCTGTGAATAATGAAGATACATAATGGAAATAACAGAAGCTGACTTAAACCAATGTGCTGACATAAAGGGCCTATGAAGAAAGGCCACAGTGGCAGAGATGGAGACGCCCACAGGCCACCCTCATGGACTTACCAAAACTGATCTAGCTGTTACCATTGAACATTCAACATGCCAGCCTCAGAGACTCACACCGAGTACCTAATATAGCAACATTCTTTCAGGCGACCAACCAGCTACTTAAAGGCAAATTGACTACATTGAGCCCTTCTATCCTGGATGGGCCAGAAGTCTGTCCTCAGGGAAGTTAGCACATACGCTGGGGATGGTTTTACCTTTCCTGCTGGCAGGGCCTAAAGCAGCACCACTACCTGAGGGTTTACAGACTGGTGGATCCACGAGCACAGGATCCCAAATAACACCATGTCAGATAAGAGAGCTCACTCTATAGCAAATAGGTATGAGAGAGGGTCTATGACAAGGATAACTGGTTGTATGACATGCCACCTCAGAACAGAAAAACACAGGTCCATGGAATACTTTGCTGTCATTAGAAGTCATCCTACAGAGGAACAAAGAAAGGATTAACAGAACAGAAGCATTCAAAATACTAGCTAATTCTTATTAGCTAATTCTAATCTTGTCATTCTTCTGGTTAACAAAATTTAATGTACCTTACAGTTTTCAGTATTAAATCCAATTCATTATTGTAGTACTCCACAAAATGGTAACACATTGTATCAAGTGGTGCTATCTGAGGTAATTTTTTCTTCTTCAGTTTTCATTATTTTCCAAATCTGCTGCAATACTAACTGGTAGGGTTTTTGGTTTTTTTTTTAAAGCTTAATTATAGATCTTTCTTTTGCATGGCTGTAAAATTATAGTAATTGCAGTAAAATGAATACAGGAAGCAAAGATATAAAAGATCGCTCATGTATTATGGCATAATATACTAACCCTCATTTTTATTTACTATAAATGTTATTCTGAATTAACAATTATAAAACAGACTTGAATTTACAAATAGATCTGGCCTAATGATAAGATTCCAGTCTTTTACTCTAAGGCATACCATAGAGTATGGTGAAAAGTCATTTTGACCTAAAATTTATAGTACTATATAAAGGACACAGCAAATTTATTCCAAATTTGAAACTCAGGTTCAAACTATATCTTACTGAAAATGTCAGGAATCTATTATAGATTTTGAAAATCCACAACAAACATTTTATAATCTGGAATTAAATCCTTTTAATTATTTCTGAGCAGTGTAGTAAACAACACTTATAATTAGTTTAGGAGAGAAAGGGGAGAAAATTTAACCTGTAGTTCTTTATCACCATTCCTTAATAGTTTACATCTATGTTTCTGGAATGAACAAATTGAGAGACTGTAGTTTATAGCAACTGGAATACTGAATAACTTTCTTAGTCTTATCAACTAAAATTATAATACATTTTAAATGACTTTTTCATGTTTTTATCTATTAGCTTTCACTTAGTCACATTAAATCATGCTTTTCTATTACTCAGTTCATTTGTTCCTGAGTGCCTGCCTTTAGATGCCAGGTGCCGGATCTAGGTTTTCAAGCAGAGTTATTATTCAGCTTAAGTCGCTCTATTTAATTGTCAACAGTAGTTAAAGCAGGACTTAAAGAACAGATCAAAGTTAAACCAATACTTAAATATGATTAGAAAACATACCATAGGTCATGGAACATAAAACATTACTAAGATGCATTCAATGTTTAAAATGCCTTTTGGTCTTAAAGCTATAATATATACATGCGTATATAGCTATATATATTTAATTATGGCTGCTACTCCTGATAAATCATTTCTCCTCAGGTGCACTTACAAAATTCATTGATATATTACCTTTTAAAGATTTTTAAAAACCTAGTTAAGAGGTAAGTCACTTGTCACACAGCGAGACAGAAAAACAACTGATATATAGTGTTATTTTTTTCAAGTAATGTTATGTACAGTTTTATTGCCAGTATATGCACAACAGTAAGCATAGAACTATAAATACACAATGTAATTAACAGTAGAAAACAAAATTGTTACAGGTAAAGGGGAGGAGATACAGAGAAACTTTTCCTGCTGCTAGAACAGAAAGGTAAAAGCCCATGACAAATCATCCATTCAGTACTCTTGTCTTAAATTCTTTACATACATTTCTACATTTTGTTCAATTAAACAAAGAAAGTACAGATAACTCTGTAACAACAGCAAATTGCTTCCCTAATAGCTATTTGCCTTTCCAGTCAAATTCACTTTGTTAGGATTAAAAAAAAAGTCAAGATGAGCAATCATTAGTATCCTGGTTCCAAATTATCTGCTTTGCCTTTCACCAACACTGGTAATTTCTGCAAGTTGGCTGCACATGAAAAGAACAGATGTAGCAAAAGGTGACTTAAAAACTAACAGAAAATCACCCTTTAATAGTTTTCCAAAAGACACTATAGGCAACAGCTCAGTTAAAAGTATTAGCCCTGAAGAGGTAGAGAATTTGAGCCCGTCATACAAGGTAACAGCCTTGGCACCATCTTCTCTCTCATCAGGATCAATGTTTTCAAGTAAGACAATTTCATGGTAAAAGGAAACCAGGTTCCACCATTTAAACAAAAGGTGCTGGTCGACTCCCATGTCTCAATAATTAGTTTGTTTATTAAATGAGAAACAGAAAACTGTCAAGGACACACATGCACTTGATTTTTTTTTTTTGTCTGTTTCCATTATCAAGTTTATTCGTAAGTGAATTTGATATTAATAAATATAAAAAAGCATCATTCACAACAAAGATAAACAAACCAAAAACCCTGCAATGAAACCTTCCATTTTGATAAGTGTCAAGAAAATAACAGGCAGATGATTTGGTGCAGCTTTCTTAAGGGATCACAGAGGGGATGTGGTTTTAAATAAAGATGGCAAGATCAGTAACCAACAAACAATATCAGTTTTACAAAACTGGCTGATTCTGTAACATTTCTCTTTGAGGTCTTAGTTTTAAACTACAGACCACCCCAAAGAAGTTATAACTAATGACATGTATCACAATCACACCAACAGAGTCCAGCTGTAGTTCAAATTAGTCCTGCTTTGTTTCACGTCATTTCAATATTACTAGCATAGGACATGATAGGAAACAAAACTCAAAAGTCGCAATAAAAATATTATTCTGCATTTGAATAAAGGCAAAAAATGTTTTAGACTGTTCAACTTTTAAAGCTTTAAGCATTCCTGTTTAACCAGCATTAAAAAAAATTTATACAACCATAACACTGGCAAAGGTTAATGGGGAAGACAAAGAAGTACAAACGTGAACTGATGAGTCAGGTTTAAAATTACTTTATATTGATCAACTGTTGTTAATACTGCTTCTTCTTGAATTTGGGATAACTATCATAAAAGTTACATGCAGACTGAGGATAGCCCTCTGTTACAGAAAATACAAAACGAAACGAAAAACTAAAACTAGGAAACAATGGTAAGCTCCAAAAGATGCATTTGAAAATCTCCTTTCATTGATGAGGGTGGTCTGTCTGTCCGTTCTCTGGGAGACCTGGTTCACTTTGATCAGCTTCACTAACTTTGTCCAGAAACGTCAGTAGTGGGATCAGCTCCTCCGGAGCCTGTTTGTGCACGTTTGATGTAAAGATTCAGTAGCTTCATCTGCAGGTTGAAACCAAACATGTCATTTGAGCAAACGGCTCTAAATTATAGTATAATGTTCATTAAAAATTATATACACCTATATGAGCTTTAAAAGATAAATTTTAAACTGAGGGGTTATTATAATGCCCAAGTTATTGTTGACAATTAGAAATTACAATTTTTTTTTCTATTTTGTTTGTTCATGATTGAGTAGGCTAGCATGTCCTTTCAAAAACTGTTGCAGTGTTAACATATAAAACCTCAAGTAAATTTAGCAAAGGAAATCACCATTAAGACAATAATGACAAACATTTAAGCACTATGTGCTATACAATACACTAACTGCCTTACATTATCTCTTTTTGCCTTCAAAACAGAATGTGTGAGTCTCTGCCTAAGCTCTCAGCGCCAAGTAAGAAGTGGGCCAGGATAGGAAATTAGGCACTTGGGTTCCAGGACCCAAGATCTTAGACAACTATGCCGCTGTCCTCCTAACAGAAATGTTTTTAACTTGAGGTGGTGAGCACAGAGTGCAATGTATGGATGATGTGTTGTGGGGTTGTGTGCCTGAAGCCTGTATGATTTTCTTGGCTATGTCACCCCAATAAATTCAATTAAAAATGTTTTTTATTTCTCTGTATCATTTTGCAGTCTCTACTGTATGATACCATATTTTTATAGAGTTTGTAATCAGTGCATGCACAACTGTGTTCTCTTTTTTTATCTAATGTCATTTCCAAGTATTTTACTCCCACCTAGCTTCTGTCCTCATATTATTACTGGCTGCTTAGTATTCGGATAAAGTGCTGATTTTAATTCTTCCACAGGCAACTCTGGATTATCAGGACGCAACTTAAGCTCATCACAAAAGTTGGCATCCATTTTTCTTTGAAAACCACGTTATTGTTGGAAGTTTGCTTTTTAAACATGAATTCTTTGATTCAAGGGTTTTTAACCCAGTGTCTATGGGATTCAGGGGCTCACTGAATCCTCTGAAACTATGTATACAATTTTCTGTATGTATTTATTTTTCTTGAGGTGAGATTTTACCTATATCTCAAAGATTTAGGTAAAAACCTTAATCCAGGAAGGGCTAAGAACTGTTGCTTTAATCTATCTATAACTTACATAGGTATTTAACGTAAGGTGTATACCAGAGCTCATTTTCCTTTATGTTTATTTTTCTGCCCTTTTGCTATTTTAAAAATAAATATGCTCATAGTAATGACAACCATTAGGATGTGGGGAACTCTGGAAGTGAAGGCAAGTGTCTGTTAACTTGTTTATAAGCCCTAAGCCAACACTTGTAATTTATCCATACCCCCTGGAGTAAATTTCAAAATTTTGATAGTATCAAAGAAATGAGAAAAGCAAGACTTATTTTACTTATTTTTTAAGTCTTAAGAGCTAATTGGAAAAATTATTTTAACATACCAAATCAAAGTTGTACACTTATCTGGATAAAAATAAGAACAGAACAAGAGCAAATATCATAGTTTGTAGGAGGAAATTTTAAATATGTTCAAGTGGTCCATATTTTGGGAGATATAAAGTAATCCATGAATATATAACCCTGTCTATTTTTAATTAAACAGTCTTTGGGGGGTAAGGACTTGGTTGTGGGAGTGGCAAAGAAGTTGGCTACTTTAAATAAGCAGAATCTGTAGGCATTTCTTTCACAGCCATCTACCAACCACCCTAACAGACCGCTGACTTCATCTGAGTGACAAGTGTGAAAGTAGAAACAGCTAAAATGCAGACGGTAAGAGGAGTAAGTTGAATACTCAAAGCATGACTTACTAAAAGGTGAATACAAATGTACCCCTTCACACACACGAAAATAAATTTGAAGAATGTACCATGGCCACCATCCCTAGAACAAAGCAGCTCTACTTACTTTACTGCCAGTGAGCTGACTGAGATGTGGTTTTAGTTCATCACCAATTACTGCATGAACGGCTACCAGGCAGAAGACACAAGCTTTCCGAACACTGCTCTCTGAATTATCATAACCCTAGGAAGAGAAGTCCTTATTAGCACTCCGGGGGGATCTGAGAAAAGTACCATTCTAACAGAGACAGAAGACACAACTCAAAGATGAGATCTCAACTTTACTGACAGATTAACTTTCCAACCTCTCCTTCCATCTCCCCTTTGGCCCTCTACTGTTAGCCTTCCTTACCAGGTTCTTTCTTATTTAGCCTGGAAAGCTGCAATTCTGACTCTGAGACTGCCCCTTTGCCAATCCACCCTGAAAAAAGCCTTCAGATTAACCTCCCTAAAGCATTCAGTTTTGAGGAACTCAACAGCTCCTTACTATCAAATAAAGCCTCAACTCCTTGGCCTGACAGTCAAGGTGCT